AACATAATAAAGATGTTGAAGAATTTGTTCTATTTTAAATAATTTAACACTGCCCGTCTGGTCCCAAAGGAGACGAACCAACTGTTCATACAAAATTGGTCCCCTTTTCCTAAGCATGACTCACACCATTTTGGGACAGAATCTAGGCATTTCTAAATGTACCTGTTTTGGGTGTGTTGTTTGTACTGTGTATTGTATACTATCACTGTATGATCTATTACCAGGATTCTCCAGCACCATATGCAGGGAAAGTGGCAATTATAATTATCTAAATATTGTTATAAACCTAATAATTATTCCTTATTATGAATAGGTTTTAAATCATTAATTAATTGTATTTTTTATAAACAGCTAAAATAGTTGTTATCACTAAAAGTCCATGTTGGGACTCGGGGGAAAAGTACTAAGCCATGCCCCACCAGCATTGCTGTAACCCCTAGAAACTCCAGGAAGAAACCCAAACATTTTACAAAACTGATTCCTCTTCACCCAAGGATACTGCAGAGTCTGAAAAATGCACTCGTCCACCCGTCCTGGACAGGTTAAAAATGGCCCAGGCCGAGCGGTTCTTCAACTGGGCTCGTCACTTGGGATGAATGCAGTTAGTTTTTAACGCCAGCACCAATACAAACCTGCTGTCAAGAAAAGAAGTATGTTGTTGTTAGCAGAACAGGACAAGCAGCGTGCGAAAAGGTCCAGGTCCGCTTGGAAGTCTGACTACAGGAGAGGTCAGCTAGATCCTAACATCCATCTATGTAGGGGAGACAACCGGCCTCAGGACCACCTGTATTGAGAAGAAGAGGTGACAACAGATTTATTAGAGACATGTTAACAATCAGAAAAAAACCCAAAATAATGTAACAACAACATCAACAACAACAATATACATGACTACCTAATGAGGGAACCTCCATGTGGTGGTAGTCGGACAATGTTGTATACATCAGTGTACAACAGCTAATACCCTCAAATCAATAAAAACTTAATTAAATTTTCAAATCCAACATGCAGTCACTGAACTCTAAATGACCATAACACACATTTGAATTTAAACAGTACTGCCTATTATTATTAATAAAACGAGGTTCTGAATTTATGTGCTCTACATTTACACATAAACTATTATGACAGAGATGGGAACAGTCCAGATCACTTGACAATTCTAAATTTTCAGAAAAAGTCTGTGTGCATGTTTCTTTTTCCAATTTAAATCACTGGGGTCCTTAAATGACAAAAGTCCATATTTTCCTGTCCTTGTTACAGGTCCAATCCAAATCCTACACAAGCCATTATCTGGGCTATCCACACAATTTTCTAAGATCTTGTACTTGTATAGTTTGAAAAAATCCTTCATCTTAACTAGAAAAATCAGGTGTAGGAATACACAATAACACAAATATGCTTATTTGATGTTATTTATAGATGTCCTGATCACTCCAGAAAATAAAGTTTAAAATTTTTAAAAAAATTTAATTTAATTAAAATTTAAATTATAATTGAAGTGATAGATTAAAAATTAACTCACTACCTAATCAGTCTTACAATATAGAACAACCATGCCAATTTGTATGAGAATCGGTCAAAAAATGTGGGTATGAGAAATAAAAACATGGATTTTTAGGCATGTCAGTAAAGGACACTTTTATTTTGAAATTAAAAAAAAAAAATTTTCATCAACTGTGATCTAATTCAAACATTTTGGCACAAACAGAATCAGCGTAGGTCAAACAGAACAGGAGTTATGAAGAATTGAAAAACCCCTCTCAGACTGAGATTTTAACTCAGTTTTACATACACTTTGCTGTAAGTACATATCACAGACACCAAGTGTCAGGAAAAATTAAAAAGATTTTGCAATTATTAAGATAAAATTGAATAATTCCTACATATACCTATACAAAAAAGTTTTTCAATTTCAAATTACAACTTCATTTTTTTGTAGAATTTTAATTTTTTTTTAAATTACCAAATTTTAATATTAACTGAACATTTAATCTGCTTTAAAGCATTTTTTCAGCTTTGATTTGGACATGAAATAATTAATAGATAACAGTAAAGACTTACAGTAAACAATCACAGTGAATGACACCCATTGGACTACTAACAGCCACATGTATACATACACAGACTATCCATGCCAAAGGCAGGGGGCGGTGTTCTCTTTGGGTCATTCTGTTTACTTATGGGGCTCTCCCTGTTTCTGAAACACCTTTGATGTTATATTATCAAACAGGCAATGATGTGCATATCACAATGACCAATCAAATGGTCAGCTTCAGTTTGATTTTTGTATTCTTAATACATCTGACTACTTCTGACTGACCACTGCTGACCACTACTGACCACTACTGACCATTACTAATATAAAGGGAGACAGAAAGAGAAGGAACAATTATTTCAAGCCTGGAAATGTTCCAAAGAATAAGGGCCAGGCATTTAAAGATGAGGATCCTGAAGTACCTGTCACCAGAGAAGAGAGACCAGCTCTGACCAGAAGACGGACCACCCAGGAATTTCAGCTGATCACCAAGCCTAGTCCTCATGGCCTTTCCCTGGTAGCAACAGATACTGGAGACAGACCATGTCCAACACGGATACTAGGGCCAGCAACTGTTACAGCTGAAGAATCCAACTCCGAGCCTGTGATAGAAGGAAACCGGATCATAAACGTAGTGTTGATGGTGAAAATGTGGAATGACATTATCAGACTTCATGCCGGACAACCTAACACTACAGCATGCATGGTACCAGAGTTTGAACTGGACACCGAGCGGAAAAGGGCTCTGGGATGGAGTTGTGCTGTCCGATGTAATAAATGCCAGTACAGATCTCTACTGTATAAACTATATAGAGAGGCAGACACCGATAAGCCGGTACACTGTGTAGGGAGGTCAAACATAAACTTGTTCAACTCAGCTCAGAGGAAATATATCAACGCCAGCACAAATATAAACCTGCTGTCAAGAAAAGAAGTATGTTGTTGTTAGCAGAACAGCACAAGCAGCATGCGAAAAGGTCCAGGTCCGCTTGGAAGTCTGACTACAGGAGAGGTCAGCTAGATCCCAACATCCATCTATGTAGGGGAGACAACCGGCCTCAGGACCACCTGTATTGAGAAGAAGAGGTGACAACAGATTTATTAGAGACATGTTAACAATCAGAAAAAAAACCCCAAAATAATGTTACAACAACAACAACAATATATATGACTACCTAATGAGGAAACCTCCATGTGGTGGTAGTCGGACAATGTTGTATACATCAGTGTACAACAGCTAATACCCTCAAATCAATAAAAACTTAATTAAATTTTCAAATCCAACATGCAGTCACTGAACTCTAAATGACCATAACACACATTTGAATTTAAACAGTACTGCCTATTATTATTAATAAAATGAGGTTCTGAACTTATGTGCTCTACATTTACACATAAACTATTATGACAGAGATGGGAACAGTCCAGATCACTTGACAATTCTAAATTTTCAGAAAAACAAATAAAAGCAAGTCTGTGTGCATGTTTCTTTTTCCAATTTAAATCACTGGGGTCCTTAAATAACAGAAGTCCATATTTTCCTGTCCTTGTTACAGGTCCAATCCAAATCCTACACAAGCCATTATCTGGGTTAACCACAGAATTTTCTAAGATCTTGTACTTGTATAGTTTGAAAAAATCCTCCATCTTAACTTTTAAAAATCAGGTTTAGGAATACACAATAACACAAATATGCTAATTTGATGTTATTTATAGATGTCCTGATCACTCCAGAAAATAAAGTTTAGAATTAAAAAAAAAATTAAATTTAAGTAAACTTTTAATTATAATTGAAGTGATAGATTAAAAATTAATTCACTAACTAATCAGTCTTAAAATATAGAACAACCATGCCAATTTGTATGAGAATCGGTCAGAAAATGTGGGTATGAGAAATAAAAACATGGATTTTTAGGCATGACAGTAAAGGACACTTTTATTTTGAAATTAAAAAAAAAATATGAAAATTAAAATAAAAAATTTCATTACTTTCAAAAAAGGTAATTGAACAGAATTACAACATTATAACAGCATAAGGGGAAAAGGACTTGCTGTCATATTTACATGTGGGACCCTACAAGTAAGTACCTGATTTTGTTTTTAGCTCCACAAGCTGAACATGACCTTACCAATTGTTGAACATCTCGACACATTGCATTCCGAAATAACACTGCTGAACCGGTGTGTTCCCTGAACGCATACATGTCTAGAACAATAGGTAGAAACATCAAAGGGAGGGTAATTATAGTCTATATCATACATGTATTATATTTACCTGAGATATTTTACCTGTGGATCTACCTGTGTTACCTGTATTAACCTGTGATAACTTGCAGAAAGAAAACTAAGATATCAATATGAAGTTCAATATTTATTAACTTTTCTTATGATATAATTACAATTGATTAAATTTAAAATACATTTAATATAAAGAAAGAACACAAAGATGCCAATATTTATGAATATATTCTATCATAATAGCACAATTACCTTTAAATAACATGTAACTTCAACTAAAATATCAAGTTCAACATGTATGAATATATTCTATCATAATATTACAATTAACTTTAAATTCAAATCAAATCTATAAGGTACAATATTTTGATCTAAAGAAAGATCAATGTACAACATATCAGCACATAACTAAAGACATATATACAGCACTAGGAAATGATAAATATATGCAGCACTACTACAAAAACTTATAAATATACAGCACCAGGAAATGACAAATATATGCAACATGACTATGAATACTAATAAATACACTGCACTTATATGTCACACTATTAGAAACTGATTGATGTTACAGCACTAACGGCATATACGAGACACTAAAGACTGATAAGTGATAACACTAATTCAATGATGAATATATAGCACTGACATAAATATCTGCAACAATGACACAACGTACAAAGTCATTCGTTTTGCTCAGAGCAAGTCTAGGCAAGACATTTCAACCCAAGTGAAGAAGCTCAGATGCTGCATCAGCGTACGCAATGATGTCTATGGTGTTGCTCTCCAGTCTCTGTTTCAGCAGGGCAAGGCGGGTGTCAATGTTTCTGTACCTCTTGGGTCGGGGTCGTCTGGTTCCACCGGCGCGTCGTTGGAGTCTTGCAATTTCGTTGGTAGCCTGAATGTCTTTGAATGTCTGGATGATCTCGAAGATGTTTGGATGGGCGTGTTGCACAATCTTCTTCAGCTTCCCGTGCCAGGCTTCTAGGTGGTTGGTGGTACGTGGTCCATCGTTGTCGTAGTGGTTCCAAACTGGTCGGTCTCCATCCACCCATTGGTCAACAACATAGTCCGTGAATGGTGTCACGTCAGCTGGTAGGTCGGCGTACTCAATGTCCTGTAGTGCGTGAAACCAGACATCCTCAACTTGCTGCTCAGGTACCAGAGGTGAACTGCTGCACGGCGAACCAGTCTCCTGATGTCTTCGTTGTCCCGGTATGGAAGCTGTAGTCCAGTCATCAGTGCCTTTCTCCAGACGCATTGGGTGTAGTGGAAGAAGCAGCCCTTGATATCGGTCCCTGGGAAGACGGTGCGGATTGCGTTGTGGACAGCTGTCTCAAAGTCAACGAATACTGTGTCGGGCGACATGGGTAGGTGGTTGTCTGCCATGAATGTCTTGAGTAGTGTGAAGAATCTTGTGTAGATGTGCTGACTTTTCCCGGGTAGAAGAGAGTAGACAACTGGGTACATGGATCCATCTATCTCAATGTGTATCGTGTAGATCTGATGAAAGATGTTGGGACACGTGTAGAAAGTACCATCACAGTAGATGCGGCCGGCGGTGGCGAGCTCAGCCAAGTCCTCTGATGTGGCGAAGACAAGGATTCTGTTCTGGTCACCATCGTCAATGTGTAGGAAGCGCTCTCCAGTGTTGGTTTCCGTCCATCTTCCCTCGAGATCAATGTCCTGGGTAGTGGTTGGTAGCTTTGGTGTAAGCTTGCGTCTGGCTCTGTACAGCTGTGACTTCTTGGAGTTGAAGGTGGGTATCTTCTCTACAACGGTTCTTGTCTCTTCATCCCATTCGTTGTCACGCAGTTTGCAGAGTTCCTCACTGTAGATGGTAGGGATTGGTCTGATTTCTTTGTGGCAGCGGTCAGTGATGCAGTTCATGATCTCCTTGGCTACGATGCTTGCATGGTCTCCCGGGTGATTGTGTGGTTGCCGTCCAACTCCTACTATGATGTTGTTGCGGGTGTTGATTGTAGCAAGGCAGTTGGTAATGGTGCATCTCCAGTAAGTTCTGAAAGAGAAAAAGAAGATATTAATGTCTGGTTCACATAAATGTATAGTTTGCAACACTTGAGATTTATATGTAGAAAAAAAAATCTATCAGTGTTTCAAAGCAACACTTACTGTGACTTCAAGAGTATGATGTATAAAAAATATGATTTATTATTTTCATTTATTTATTTATTCATCAATTTACTTTTTATCTCTAATTATTTCTTCCTTATTGCATACATAAGAGCAAAAAAGTCCATTGATACAATTTATGAGTTTTTGTTTCAAGGAAAGAATTAACAAAATATTTCTTTTTACAAAACAACTTTTACATCAGTATTTACCTTTCTCCTCGAGATGATCTAATTCTGTACAAGTAACCATTATATGATAAGTTGTTGATAAGAGACGGATGAAAAAGGCCTGTCGCCGAGTTGTGAAAGTCAACTGCCCTGGGGCGTATATAGCAATTAGTACCTATGTGTTATATATGTCTCTGCAAACACGTTGAGTATGAGGAGATTTATGACACCCGGCTTGGGCTGAACGCGTACTATTGCTCGGAAAATGATATTGTTTTAACTGTCTGAAAAGTTTAAATCCTACCTTGTCCCCATATCTGTACCTACCGCGGTATCCGAAGGTATTTAATTATAGATTGTTGACACCGACTTCGACATGGGGAAACGGGGAACATCGTTTACAGCGAAAGAAAAACTGGACGCCATTGACTACGCCGAGAGGCTTGAGTTTCGTGCCGCCGGTCGCCACTTCGACAATCCATAGTGAAATATCAAGGCACGGAAGAAAAAAGACCGTCTCAAGTCCCAACCACTGACCAGAAGGGCTGACATAGGTGCGACAGCGAAACACCCAGAGATGGAGAGAGAGCTGTTCAACTTCGTGTGCGATCGCCGAGATGCCGGCATCGCTGCCAGAACAACAGAGGTCATGGGGTCACCAACTTTAAGCATCGATGGGATGGGCTGTCCGATTTATGAACAGAACGACAAACGCCAAAAAACTTCCGGACTCATTGAATTCCAGAGATATATCATCAAAATGAGGCAGAAATCCAGACACTACCATAGCCCTGACCAATAGTAAGACCGTCACTATTCGAACGACGGGAAGCGGAAAAAAATAGATTCACCGTAATGCTAGCGTGTATGACCGATGATTAAAATATTCGAAATTTATTTTATTTGTTGTTTTTGTTTTTATCTCCAAACTATCATATATGACCGACGATTTTTGCATATAACTATGTGAAGGGAGGTAATCCAATATGGCGGACGCAGAACTCGGTATGAAATTATTTAGATTTCGGTGCAGTTCTGTTCTCTGTACATAATTACTACAGGCGATGACGAAATGATGTGTATCCTTAATAGGATGTCCACATAGACAGGGACGATAATCAATTAGATGAGATTGGAAAAGATCGTTATTTAAGTTATTTTTTTACTCTTGCATGCAAAATATTTAAACAAATGAAAAACAAAGCAAACAGACAACAAAGTAATTATCCGTGACGTAATCACGTGCGTACACCACTTTTTCTGAAAATCTTATCGAATAGCACTTATGTCTATTATTGTATGATGTCGACGTCTCGTCCTACGTCCTTAGTTTTCCTAAAAGTTTCTGAAGCATTCTGAACCCAGATAAAACGAAATCAAGAATGAATGTCTTTGATATAATCATGTCTGCATCGTACACCCACCCTTAAAATGAGTGTACATGTAAGTGCCAACGTCAACATAGTATATACATTGTACACTTCTTCAATAACGCTTGTACGTGTAAGTATCAACATAGTATATACATTGTACACTTCTTCAATAACACTTGTACATGTAAGTATCAACATAGTATATACATTGTACACTTCTTCAATAACGCTTGTACATGTAAGTATCAACATAGTATATACATTGTACACTTCTTCAATAACACTTGTACATGTAAGTATCAATGTCAACATCGTATATACATTGTACACTTCTTCAATAACACTTGTACATGTAAGTATCAATGTCAACATAGTATATGCATTGTACACTTCTTCAATCACGCTTGTACATGTAAGTATCAACGTCAACATAGTATATACATTGTACACGTCTTCAATAACGCTTGTACATGTAAGTATCAATGTCAACATCGTATATACATTGTACACGTCTTCAATAACGCTTGTACATGTAAGTATCAACGTCAACATAGTATATACATTGTACACTTCTTCAACAATGCTCACGTGATTCGTCATTATTGTTTTATTTACTGTAATTGAATGTAAGTGAATCGGCCAGTATAGATTCACACCAATATATATATATGTCAGTCGTAAATTGTACATATGTCTTTGAAATTTCATTTCATATATATATATATATACGAACGGAATGTATAGGGTGATAAGCCTATAAATAAATAAATAAATAAATAAATAAATAAATAAATAAATATCAGAGATATTAAAACAAACTACCATGATTATTGATGTTCACATGCTATGAACTATGTTTTGGTTATACATGTAGTATTGCCGCGATGTGGAAATGGCGTTTATATTTTATTATTCATTTCGTTAATCACGTGTGAAATCCTTTATTTCGGAGATATCAATTGTATTTTGATCAGGAAACTATTTAACTATCTAATACATATAAACATCAGTCTGTCTTAATGACTCATCGATACACGTACATTGGTGCCGTGTTTGTTTACTTGTTCAGCGATTGGACTAAAAAAGTTTCCGTGAAAAAAGATTACTTGTCATTTTCACCTTAAAATGATACAATGGCACTTTTATCGAGTGAGGATATCCATGTCCAAAAGAATTTATAAACATACATAAAACGCCGATTTCCCTGTATCAATACAAAGCGAAATTTGCAACATCAGCGGTGCGGACAAATGGAATATTTCATGTTCGTGTTTTCTTCCCTTTCTTTTTTGATGTTTATGTGTTTTTTTGTTTATTATTTTTCGTGGACAATGATATCACAAAGCAAGTTATAAGACCACGATGCTGACCAGACAACCTCTTACGCTAGGGTTTGGGATATCCTTGTCCACGGAACAAACACAAATGCAATTTGTTATGATACTTTCTCATCGCGTCATCGCCATTGTCCCGTGAAATTTGCATCGAAACTGGTGACGTTACAGTATCAACTGTAAATACCCCACATACAATGATGACGCTACCTGTCAGTGGCGTCATACCGCGTACCAGATGTCCATACCTCATGTGACAGTTGTTACATTGAGTCTTAAAGCTTATCAGTTCAGAATGACGTACGACATAAACAGGTATAAACATCAATTATGTACTAACCTTCTCATCAAACTCACCATCAATTAGCATAGTGTAGAGGGAATTCAACACAATACACACGTACAATGTGATAGTTTCTACTTTTGTCCATCAATTAGCATAGTGTAGAGGGAATTCAACACAATACACACGTACAATGTGATAGTTTCTACTTTTGTCCATCAATTAGCATAGTGTAGAGGGAATTCAACACAATACACACGTACAATGTGATAGTTTCTACTTTTGTCCATCATTACGAGACGTTTTAATAATGTCTTTTTGCTGTTGACAGATTTTATAAGTTGTATAAATCTAAACATACCGGGTCTTAATAATATATATCTTAGTGAAACGTTTCCTTAAATACACATATCTTTCACATTTTAACTATAAAACGAAATTTATCTTCTATATCACCAATGTTACATAAAGTGCAAATTCTGTCATTCCTTTCTATATCAGTATAACTCCTAATTTCAACATTCAATTTGTAAAATGACATTCTGAGTTTTTTTTTTTTTTGCCATCAAATTAGAATTTCCACTAGATTTTGTAAGATAATATTGAACACAAAAGTCCTCGCCGATATATTTGTTAGGGAAAATTTAGAAGATGAACTGATATAAAAAATGTAGTGTTGATAATGTTTATAGTGTAACCAGGTGTAAAAGTATATTCATATTGCCTTATGTACCCCCAAAACCTATCTGAAACGTTCATTTCTCACACCATACAGCAAGTCGCTTCCATTTTCTGACATATCTTAGTAACATGCTTATAAAACAGTTGTCAGAATGCTTTAATTTCATCCAATACTTAAAAATACGAAATTCGACCCGTAGCAACCACAGGTTTGTCTATAGCAACCAAGGGATCGTCTGTGGCAACCACAGCATCGCCCTGTGAAAACCATGTTATCGTCTTTGGCAACCACACTATCGTCCTGTGAAAATCACGTGATCGTCTGTGGTAACCAGAGCATCGTTCTGTGAAAAGCACGGGATCGTCATGTGGCTTACGATATCGTCCTGTTAAAAATCACGGGATAGATCACGAAAGGAAATATGATTATTTTGAGAAACGGGCGATGTTTTCAAGATAATCATCCTCTCCCGAGGGCGGAGATGCCCTATCTCACCAACAACGATATAACTGATCTTGTTATATTTACAGAATCTTATTTGAGAAAAACAAAGTTAAAATTAACAAATCAGTGATTTAAACGGAACTCCTGAAAAAGTTCAAGGAGAGTAAGGTCAAGTGTTCCAGAAGATTAAGCGTCTTCTGCTTCATCGACTGCGCCATCCGCCCACTCATATGAAGTATTACTTTCACGTATAAACACATAGAAACATAGAAGCAAAATAATTTTAATCAAAAAGTTCTTTTGTCTATTTTCATCATTTGTTCTATTTTTGTTTTTATTCGTAACAGAAGAGAAGGCTTCCTTACGGGACAAGCTAGATTTCATTAGCACGTACAGTAGCTCGGGTTCATCCAGAGCTGTCCAGGATACTGTCCGGGAAAACAATCGCCAGGAAAAAGACAGGCTTACTTTTGTGAAACAGTCTCCGAAAAACGAGAAGAAAACTGATGACAGCGAAAAATTACTGCTGCCTGAACCACTGAAATCACCCTACACAGAAGGTACACTTACTGATGTACATGTACAAATGCTTTATCCTCACAATGTCAATGAAAGACACATCACAAATTCAGGCTGAATATCAACTAGGTTTTTACGAATAGTATTTTGATTTTATTTATTAGTATTATTTTTAAGGGGTCTAAAAATCACCACTGGGAGGTCGACAAGCGTGGTAATTGGTAGATAAATGGTTATAGTGCTCATGTTTGTGTTCTTAGCGCTGCTGGCTTGCCTAATTAGATGGCTTACGCATGAGTCCGAGTCGATAATACAATGTGATACAAAATGACCATCCAATTACCATGTAAATTTGAAATCAGGACTGGTCACTTCAGTTTTTCTTTTGATTTGAGACAGATACTATCGCCGGAACTTTTCCTATTTCAATAATTTATGTCGTTTGTATATTGAAAGTCGACTGTAATCTTCAACAATATTTGTCAAACCTTGTAATAATCTCTATATTTTGATTTTGAGTAAAGCGCAACGATCCTGATTTAGTCCTCCTAGATATATATATATATATATATACTGTGTGTGTGTGTGTGTGTGTGTGTGTGTGTGATACTACCTAGAACTGTCCTCCTAAGTAAGTCCCTGTGTGTCTGAGTAGATGTGGTGAGTATGTGTGTCTGATACTACCTAACTATAAGAAAACTAAGTCCCTGTGTGTCTGATACTACCTACTCCTATAATCCTCCTAACTACATGTCCTCCAGTAAGTCCCTGTGTGTCTGATACTACCTAGACCGTCCTCCTAAGTAAGTCCCTGTGTGTCTGATACTACCTAGACAGTCCTCCTAAGTAAGTCCCTGTGTGTCTGATACTACCTAGACCGTCCTCCTAAGTAAGTCCCTGTGTGTCTGATACTACCTAGATCGTCCTCCTAAGTAAGTCCCTGTGTGTCTGATACTACCTAGACCGTCCTCCTAAGTAAGTCCCTGTGTGTCTGATACTACCTAGATCGTCCTCCTAGATCGTCCTCCTAAGTAAGTCCCTGTGTGTCTGATACTACCTAGATCGTCCTCCTAAGTAAGTCCCTGTGTGTCTGATACTACCTAGACCGTCCTCCTAAGTAAGTCCCTGTGTGTCTGATACTAGTCCCTGTGTAGACCGTCCTCCTAAGTAAGTCCCTGTGTGTCTGATACTACCTAGACCGTCCTCCTAAGTAAGTCCCTGTGTGTCTGATACTACCTAGACCGTCCTCCTAAGTAAGTCCCTGTGTGTCTGATACTACCTAGACCGTCCTCCTAAAGTAAGTCCCTGTGTGTCTGATACTACCTAGACCGTCCTCCTAAGTAAGTCCCTGTGTGTCTGATACTACCTAGATCGTCCTCCTAAGTAAGTCCCTGTGTGTCTGATACTACCTAGATCGTCCTCCTAAGTAAGTCCCTGTGTGTCTGATACTACTATCGTCCTCCTAAGTAAGTCCCTGTGTGTCTGATACTACCTAGACCGTCCTCCTAAGTAAGTCCCTGTGTGTCTGATACTACCTAGATCCCTGTGTGTCCTCCTAAGTAAGTCCCTGTGTGTCTGATACTACCGTCCTCCTAAGTAAGTCCCTGTGTGTCCTCCTAGACTAAGTAAGTCCCTGTCCTCCTAAGTAAGTCCCTGTGTGTCTGATACTACCTAGACCGTCCTCCTAAGTAAGTCCCTGTGTGTCTGATACTACCTAGACCGTCCTCCTAAGTAAGTCCCTGTGTGTCTGATACTACCTAGACCGTCCTCCTAAGTAAGTCCCTGTGTGTCTGATACTACCTAGACCGTCCTCCTAAGTAAGTCCCTGTGTGTCTGATACTACCTAGACCGTCCTCCTAAGTAAGTCCCTGTGTGTCTGATACTACCTAGACCGTCCTCCTAAGTAAGTCCCTGTGTGTCTGATACTACCTAGACCGTCCTCCTAAGTAAGTCCCTGTGTGTCTGATACTACTTAGACCGTCCTCCTAAGTAAGTCCCTGTGTGTCTGATACTACCTAGACCGTCCTCCTAAGTAAGTCCCTGTGTGTCTGATACTACCTAGACCGTCCTCCTAAGTAAGTCCCTGTGTGTCTGATACTACCTAGACCGTCCTCCTAAGTAAGTCCCTGTGTGTCTGATACTACCTAGACCGTCCTCCTAAGTAAGTCCCTGTGTGTCTGATACTACCTAGACCGTCCTCCTAAGTAAGTCCCTGTGTGTCTGATACTACCTAGATCGTCCTCCTAAGTAAGTAAGTCCCTGTGTGTCTGATACTACCTAGATCGTCCTCCTAAGTAAGTCCCTGTGTGTCTGATACTACCTAGATCGTCCTCCTAAGTAAGTCCCTGTGTGTGTCTGTAAGTCCCTGTGTGTCTGATACTACCTAGACCGTCCTCCTAAGTAAGTCCCTGTGTGTCTGATACTACCTAGACCGTCCTCCTAAGTAAGTCCCTGTGTGTCTGATACTACCTAGATCGTCCTCCTAAGTAAGTCCCTGTGTGTCTGATACTACCTAGATCGTCCTCCTAAGTAAGTCCCTGTGTGTCTGATACTACCTAGACCGTCCTCCTAAGTAAGTAAGTCCCTGTGTAAGTAAGTCCCTGTGTGTCTGATACTGTGTACCTAGACCGTCCTCCTAAGTAAGTCCCTGTGTGTCTGATACTACCTAGACCGTCCTCCTAAGTAAGTCCCTGTGTGTCTGATACTACCTAGACCGTCCTCCTAAGTAAGTCCCTGTGTGTCTGATACTACCTAGACCGTCCTCCTAAGTAAGTCCCTGTGTGTCTGATACTACCTAGACCGTCCTCCTAAGTAAGTCCCTGTGTGTCTGATACTACCTAGACCGTCCTCCTAAGTAAGTCCCTGTGTGTCTGATACTACCTAGACCGTCCTCCTAAGTAAGTCCCTGTGTGTCTGATACTAGTCCCTGTGTGTCTAGATACTACCGTCCTCCTAAGTAAGTCCCTGTGTGTCTGATACTACCTAGACCGTCCTCCTAAGTAAGTCCCTGTGTGTCTGATACTACCTAGATCGTCCTCCTAAGTAAGTCCCTGTGTGTCTGATACTACCTAGATCGTCCTCCTAAGTAAGTCCCTGTGTGTCTGATACTACCTAGACCGTCCTCCTAAGTAAGTCCCTGTGTGTCTGATACTACCTAGATCGTCCTCCTAAGTAAGTCCCTGTGTGTCTGATACTACCTAGACCGTCCTCCTAAGTAAGTCCCTGTGTGTCTGATATTACCTAGACCGTCTTCTAAGTAAGTCCCTGTGTGTCTGATACTACCTAGACCGTCCTCCTAAGTAAGTCCCTGTGTGTCTGATACTACCTAGACCGTCCTCCTAAGTAAGTCCCTGTGTGTCTGATACTACCTAGACCGTCCTCCTAAGTAAGTCCCTGTGTGTCTGATACTACCTAGACCGTCCTCCTAAGTAAGTCCCTGTGTGTCTGATACTACCTAGAACGTCCTCCTAAGTAAGTCCCTGTGTGTCTGATACTACCTAGACCGTCCTCCTAAGTAAGTCCCTGTGTGTCTGATACTACCTAGACCGTCCTCCTAAGTAAGTCCCTGTGTGTCTGATACTACCTAGACCGTCCTCCTAAGTAAGTCCCTGTGTGTCTGATACTACCTAGACCGTCCTCCTAAGTAAGTCCCTGTGTGTCTGATACTACCTAGACCGTCCTCCTAAGTAAGTCCCTGTGTGTCTGATACTACCTAGACCGTCCTCCTAAGTAAGTCCCTGTGTGTCTGATACTACCTAGACCGTCCTCCTAAGTAAGTCCCTGTGTGTCTGATACTACCTAGACCGTCCTCCTAAGTAAGTCCCTGTGTGTCTGATACTACCTAGACCGTCCTCCTAAGTAAGTCCCTGTGTCCTCCTAAGTAAGTCCCTGTGTGTCTGTGTGTCTGATACTACCTAGACCGTCCTCCTAAGTAAGTCCCTGTGTGTCTGATACTACCTAGACCGTCCTCCTAAGTAAGTCCCTGTGTGTCTGATACTACCTAGATCGTCCTCATAAGTAAGTCCCTGTGTGTCTGATACAAGTCCCTGTGTGTCTGATACTACCTAGATCGTCCTCCTAAGTAAGTCCCTGTGTGTCTGATACTACCTAGATCGTCCTCCTAAGTAAGTCCCTGTGTGTCTGATACTACCTAGATCGTCCTCCTAAGTAAGTCCCTGTGTGTCTGATACTACCTAGATCGTCCTCCTAAGTAAGTCCCTGTGTGTCTGATACTACCTAGATCGTCCTCCTAAGTAAGTCCCTGTGTGTCTGATACTACCTAGACCGTCCTCCTAAGTAAGTCCCTGTGTGTCTGATACTACCTAGACCGTCCTCCTAAGTAAGTCCCTGTGTGTCTGATACTACCTAGACCGTCCTCCTAAGTAAGTCCCTGTGTGTCTGATACTTAGTAAGTCCCTGTGTGTCTGATACTATCTAGATCGTCCTCCTAAGTAAGTCCCTGTGTGTCTGATACTACCTAGACCGTCCTCTAAGTAAGTCCCTGTGTGTCCTACCTAAGTAAGTCCCTGTGTGTCTGATACTACCTAGATCGTCCTCCTAAGTAAGTCCCTGTGTGTCTGATACTACCTAGACCGTCCTCCTAAGTAAGTCCCTGTGTGTCTGATACTACCTAGATCGTCCTCCTAAGTAAGTCCCTGTGTGTTATATGTTATATTATTTCTGAATTTTCTTTTTCTTTTTGTCCTCCTTTTGTGTGTTATTTATTTCCTAATAAGTTCTTTTTGTTGTTTTGATTTTACCTGATATTTTTTCTCATTTTTGGAGGGATTGGGGTGATGAGTATAAATATCTTATCAGCTGATTTACCTCCTCTCCATTTTTTTAACAAAATACATATAAACAGATATATTCCGCCATTGTCACAAAGGAGACATAGAATCTGAGAATCAACCCAATAAAACACATTGTATGATGATTAAATATGTATTTCTCTCTCACCACAGATCGTCAACAGTTGTGTGTTTAATCTCATTTTTTCCCCGTTTCTTTCAGAGTATTTCACGATTTCCTTGATGTCGCCGTTCCAACTGTTAGGGACATGGTCACGTGTCAGTTTGAAAAACTTCCGGTTCCTTTTTTCGAGGATGGATTTTTCCTCTACGGCAAAGGAACCAGTGTATTTACTAATTGTAATAACGGAGGTATAATGATCACTAATGTAGAAAGGGCGCGCAAATGTGCAAAGGAAATGTCAAAAGAATGCTCCAAATCGTCCGCTTTTGTCACAAAAATAATCCGTATGCCTTTGTACTCCTTTGAAAAGTTAATGGAACAGATACCGAGACTAAAGATTATACACTTACTGCGGGACCCGAGACCCACAATGCTTTCTCAGCTGAAAGCTGGTAATGTAAAACGATTATATTTAAAAACAAACGTCACATCATACTGCAATCGTGTCTATGACGATGTCGTCAAGGCTGAGGACTTTAACCGGAAGTTTCCTGGTCGACTAATGCGGGTGTATTACGAGGACATTGTAAAAAGACCTCTAGAATTAACGAGAAAAATGTATGATTTTTCAGGAATGCCGTTCACAGATAAAGTTTCATATTCAATATTAAAGTTGACAGGAGAAAATAGAAATCATAAAACATCTAACGATAGAGCTTCAGCATGGCGTTCTGATGTTAACATGGACTTTATTAAAGCTGTAGACACATCATGTAACCAGCTTTACACCAAAGTCGGCTTCCAGAAAATGGCCACGGAAGACGACATACGGGACATATCAAAACATTTAAGGGGCGCGGAATCTCCCTATGATGACTTCCGGTTTGCATAAGTATGGCGCATTTGACCTAATTTTACTTGATCTGTTGACCTGTTGTAGCTGGCGTAGTGGCTAAGGTTCTTACCATTAGCGAAGGCTGTTCGAGATGAATCCCTTTTGATTTTTTTCCTGAACAGTTAAAAATATATATTTATATATATTGTACAAAATCAACATAAAGAGATTTGTATTTTTTTTATTTATCTCGTTTTCCTTCGGAACTTTTTTATTTACATGTAACATGTAATGTCAATAGAACATTTGTATACTTATTGTGGTTAAAACAAGAGCTTCTACCAATAGGAAACAACAGCACTCGTTCTAACAATCATGACGTCAGACATACTCATTTTTTACACTATTTAGATTAAAGGTATACCTAATGCATATAGATTATATCATTTTGTTTATTTTCTACGTGTTAACAATTGTATAAAGGAATTGATATAAGCTGTGCGATCTTCCACAACGTGTATACAATGATAAAATGTATGTATAATTTTGTTTTTTTATCTAATAAATTATTTATAAAATAAAAGTGATATCAGCTTTTTGTATTAGAGTATGACGTCACCATATAAAAACAACGTCATATCCGTTGGGGTGCAAGGTGGGTTCGGTCATAGATGCAACAACAAAACAAATAAAAGTGACCTCTCAAGGTCATCAATTCCATCTGGTGTGCTACTTGTAACACCGGTCAACAGATGAAAGACTCTTGGTGTGTTTTTAGTAATTTATTGGTCCGAGGAGAAAGACCTATAATATAAATAAAAGACTTCTTACGATCACTTCCATACAGTTCATACTCGTTCTTGCACACAATATCTCGCACCACTGATCAGATATAATCGAGGTAAGAATTCTGCTGTGTACTTACCAGGGTCTGTGCTGGGGGTCCAGAAATATTAGATCGCGTCCGTCCACCAGCATAGGCAACGTAAGAGTGAAGCCTATGCTGGTAGCGTCACTTAGGTGGCGGGAAAGGGTGAAAGGGTAACATGCGTCCAATCACACGCTCACAGTACATATATCCCTATGTGCACTGGTGACCCTACGACCCGAATATATTTAACCCAGGTTACATACTCCCCCGCAGAAATAATTGTCTCAGGCATTTACCACGCTTAAATATATTCGCACTTACTACTGGAATAGGTAAGACAGCGGAACAACATAAGGTATGATTTGCCAAATCTCCAATATTGTGCTAGCAACAATATTGTTGTTGCACAGGGTTAACAGATTCCTGATACTTATAGGGAAGATACTGCTAAACAAATCCCTGTCCATACTATCTAAGAGAACAGAACAGAAACTATACAAAGTTTGACTCTACAGCTAAGCTTGAGTTTGCTCTGGAGAACCTCTTATCAGAGAGACATATACACAGGACTCCCTTCAGGGTGCCATTCTCCTTAGCAATGAAGAAATGAGATCTTAATCCAGGTAAAACAATTACAATCATTTGACCTTGCAATCTTTGCAGTTTGCAAGTAGACATACCGCTTATGACTTGACATTTCATCACTATAAAGTTGCACAGGCTTCCAGGTCAGACATCGATAAGATACGGTGGTTGGGGAGGTCCCTACCTTAAACCACTCATCGACATCTGCCCCGAAATTAAAGGTAAAACAACTGGTTTACTAAAAATAATATTTCAACAACTACTGTATATGACTAGTGGTTGGGGAGGTCCCTACCTACTAGTGGTGATCATACAGTTCACAACCATAAAAATGTAGGTAATTATAACAGATAAAAACATTCACACAAAAAAATATCTAACAAATTGGACAGCCAGGGAATAACGGACTTAGACTACACTACAGTTTCCCGATAGACGGTCTGATTTGTCTGCTGGGCATATGCCCACTCACCCAACCTGTTTGGAGGACGACGATTACGTGTGGAACGTCAACCCAAGGTTAGTGGACACCTCCGCCCGAGGATCTACTGCTTCCGGTTCCGGTTCCATCACCTCCCGAGGCTCAATCCCAATATCGGACTCTGATTGCCCCTCTATTGTCACAGGTTCGTAAGATGACAGGTTGATAACTTTAAGCTCAGAGGGCGAGTTCCGATGGGTGACAACCGGACCTAGCTTGTTTTTCCTCTGATGCTTCCTTGGACGAGGTGGGGGAACTGGTGTAATACCCTCACTACTATCCGAGTCTGTTTTCTCCGACTCGGTCTCTGACCTCATGTTCACAGACTTAGGCTGAGATGGTTTCACCTTGCGGCGAGCACTCTCAATGGGAACCTCTAGGGGTATACTATTGAAGGGCAAAAGCATGTTTCGGTGAAGGGTTCGCGACTTCCCTTTTCCCGATTCTTGCTTAACTTCATACACAGGAATGTCACTGTTTGGTATATCTACAACCAAACAAGGTTCCTGTTCCCATTTGTCAGCCAACTTCTGCTTGCCTCTGAGACCAACATTCCTGACAAGGACACGGTCTCCTACCTCGAGGCGAGACTCCCGAATGGAACGATCATACCGTTCTTTGTTCCGGGATGCAGCTTTTGAAGCCTCATCACGGGCAACCTGGTATGCATATTGCATCCTTTCCTTTAGTTTGCCAACATATGAGGATGGGTCTGCTGTCTCGGAGTCACGAGGATCAGTTCCAAGGAACGCATCAACAGACAAACGTGGATGCCACCCAAACATAAGGAAATGTGGGGAAAAACCGGTGGCATCGCTTTTAGTGGCATTGTAAGCTTGGACTAGCGGCGCAACAAAAGATTTCCAATCCTTCTTTTGCTCAGCCTCCAGAGTGGCGAGCATCCCCAACAAGGTTCTGTTAAACCTTTCTGCTGAGCCATTCCCCATAGGATGATATGGGGTGGTTCTGGTCTTCTGGACTTGGGCTATCTTGCACAGCTCCCTTATCACCTTACTTTCGAAATTACGCCCCTGGTCACTGTGAAGCCTCTCGGGAAAGCTATAGAACACTATGAAATGTTCGTAAAGAGCTTTTGCAGTGGCCTTTGCTGTTTGATTACGACAGGGGACCGCTTGGGCGTACCGAGTAAAATGGTCGGTGATAACCAGAATGTTTTCAACACCACCCTTGGAAGGCTCGAGACCCAGGAAATCGACACAAACCAACTCCATTGGACGAGTTGACTTGATGGGCACTAGTTCAGCAACTGGTTTGATTGGGGCTTTTCTTCTGATGCAGCGACCGCATGTCTCAACTCTTTCGTTCACATCCCTTTCCATATGTGGCCAGTAAAAACGCTGTCTCGCCAACCAAAGCGTCTTTTCTTTCCCCTGATGACCGACATCATCATGCAGCCCTTTTAAGGCGAGGGAATGGTACTTCTTTGGAAGGACGAGCTGGTTCACCTCTTGACCATCCAGAAAAGTGGTTCTATATAAGACACCGTTATGTAAACGAAACTTCTTCCAAGCCCTTAAGCATTTCTGAACATACGGGGTTTCCTGTTGGAGTGGTTTCCCCCTGGGATGAAAACCGCTTTCAAGGAGGTCACAAACTCTTGCTATATCCAAGTCCTCTCTCTGTTTGGTTGGCCAGTCCATCGATGCAAAATTGCCCTCAGCCTGTGCACGCTCACTGGCCACATGATGTGCACAGGAAGAGGCAACACTGTCCACAAGTGGAATATCAACAGACATAGACTGGCAAACTGCCTTAATGACTTCAGAGCTTGCAAAGGATATTCGAGAAAGACCATCTGCATCAGCGTTGTTTCTCCCAGCTCTGTACTTCAAAGTGAAGTTATAATTAGCTAAAGCGGCAACCCACCGATGACCGGTAGCATCCAACTTAGCTTTTCCCAGCACATAGGTTAGGGGGTTATTATCAGTCACAACCTCAAACGTATTACCATAGAGATAGTCGTGAAGTTTGTCTGTCACCGCCCATTTGAGTGCTAGAAATTCAAGCTTGTGAGCCGGATAGTTCCGCTCGCTCGGCCTCAGCCCTCTACTAGCATATGCTATAACCTTTTCTTTACCATCCTGAATCTGGTAAAGTACTGCCCCAAGACCTGTGCTACAGGCATCTGTATGGAGAATGAAAGGTTTAGAGTAATCAGCATAAGCTAATACAGGTGGTTGCGTCAACTTCTCCTTAATTAGCTCAAAAGAGCTTTGCTGAGGGTCACCCCAAACCCAATCAGCTTTTCGTTTGGGTTTCTTTGACTTCCTGGACTTAGGTAAGTCTTTCAAAGCCTTTCTTTTCAAGTCATGACCTTGAAGAAGTTGATTGAGGGGATGGATAATCTTAGCGTAATCCTTGATGAAACGCCGATAATATCCACAGAAACCTAGGAATTGACGCAACTCCTTGACATTTGAAGGCTTCGGCCAGTCTTTGACCGCTGAAACTTTTTCAGGATCAGTAGCTATGCCCTCTTCGGACACTACATGACCGAGGTATGTTACAGATGTTTTGAAAAATTCGCACTTGGAAGGTTTCAGCTTTAAGCCATGCTTTACAAGCCTATCAAATACTGACTCTAGTCGACTGAGATGTTCATCAAAAGTCTTGGAAAATATAAGGATGTCATCGAGAAAAATGAGACATTCCTTCAGGTGCATATCTCCCATGCATTTTTCCATAAGTCTCTGGAAAGTGGCGGGTGCATTTGTCAAGCCAAACCCCATACGAACAGTTTCGTAGAAGCCAAGGTTGCCAACAGAAAATGCTGTTTTTTTCTTGTCAGCTTCAGCCACTTCAACTTGCCAATAACCAGCTCTCAGGTCAAGTTTAGAGAAATACCTGGCACCATTTAAAGTGTCTACAGTATCATCGAATCTTGGGAGCATATAGGCATCTTTACGAGACTTAGAGTTGAGCATACGATAATCTATGCAAAACCTTAAGGAACCGTCCTTCTTCCTTACCAAAACAACATTTGAAGAGTAAGGACTCGATGATTCTCGTATGACCCCAGCATCAAGCATTTCCTTGACATGCTGTCGGACTTCCTCGTACATACCTGGTGGTATTTTGCGATAAGGTTGTTTAAATGGCTTATCGTCTACGAGGTCGATCTTGTGCTGGACCAAGTCGGTGTGTCCGATATCAAAGGCGCTTTTAGAGAAAGCACATCCCCATTTACCAAGAACTTGCCTTGCACGCAATAACTGTTCCTCTGATAATGTATCAGTGTTAATCCTAACACCAAGTTCCTCAGGTAAAGACAAGTTATCTCCCTTGTCACTAACTGGCAAATGAGATGCCAAGTTATCAACAACTTTCACCTGAGCGACCTCACAAATAACTGATTTTGGAGGTATAATTATAGGTTTACCAGTAGTGTTACAAAGTTTCACTGGTATTTTAGCACGTGAAATGCCATTTTTCACTTTTATAACACGAGGGCACACCATATAGTTAAGAGCAGAATAGCTGCAATTTTCAGTGACTAGACTGGTTATATCGGGACTAAGTCCCCTGGCTATCCCATTAACAATGGCAGCAGAGTATG